CGACTTATCCCTTAGAGCATTTTATGTTTTGACTTCGAAATGATCCCCGATGGTCATCCTGACCCAAGGGTCAGGGTTTCCATTAAAAAGCTATTTTTTATTTGTGTGTGCGAACCTTAATTATTTATTATTTATTTATTTTGATACATATTATATTTAATGTTTTTTTCAGAAGCATTTTAGTAATAATATGTGGGAAAATAAAAAAATATTTGGGAAGAAATAAGAAAAAATTAAAACCAAACGCAATACCAATTAAAAAACCGCATATAGAGATATTACAAGATGGTGAGTTTAATATATGTCATTTTACTTGTTGAATAAATAGTGCTTATATATTAGATATTTGCTTTGCTAAATTATAATAAAATATAAAGTGTAGTAAAAAGAAATCCATTATTTTTCCAATAGATGGCTTTAGTAATGTGTATCTCGCGTTGTATAAGTGCGATCGGTTTACCCTAGATGGTGTTAGAAAGATAGGATTTCGTACTAAAAAAACTTCTCAGACAGTTTTGTGATTATTTGACTCAGTATTGTTTAAGCGCGCGTCAAAGATGGACACCAGCAAAGAGAAAATACATATTTTACAGTTTTTCTTCGATAAAGGCGAAAACGCAAGCCAGGCGGCTGAAAATGTGAATAGTGTTTATAGTCCTGATACTGTAACAGCCAATCACGCGCAATTTTAGTTTCGTCGATTCCGGTAATTTTGATGTCAAAGATGCACCACGCTCTGAAAGGCCAATTGTCGAAAATGTCGATAAAATAATGGAAATCGTTGAGTCCGACCGTCATGTAAGCACTGTTTCGATTGCCCAGGAGCTAAACATTGCACAAAAAACCGTTTGGAACCACTTGAATAAGGCTGGATACAAAAAGAAGCTCGATGTATGGGTGCCACACAAGTTAACGCAAAAAAACCTTATGGACCGAATTTCCATCTGTGAATCGCTGAATCGCAACAAAATCGACCCATTTCTGCAGCGGATGGTGACTGGTGATGAAAAGTGGGTCACTTACGACAACGTCAAACGAAAACAGTCATGGTCGAAACGTGGTGAGCCGGCGCAAACGATGGCCAAGCCAGAATTGACGGTCAGGAAAGCTTTGCTGTGTGTTTGGTGGGATTGGCAAGGAATCATCCACTATGAGCTGCTCCCCTACGGCCAAACTCTTAATTCGGACCTGTACTGTCAACAATTGGACCGTCTGAAGGAATCAATCGCCCAGAAGCGGCCAGCTTTGGCCAATAGGAGAGAAATTGTGTTCCATCAGGACAACGCCAGGCCACACACATCGATAGTGACTCGCTAGAAGCTCCGGGAGCTTGGTTGGGAGAATCTTATGCATCCACCTTATAGTCCGGACCTGGCACCAAGTGATTATCACCTGTTCCTGTCTATGGCGAATGATTTTGCTGGTGAAAAATTCGCCTTGAAAGAGAAGCTTGTGAAAATCGACTGTCCCAGTTTTTTGCCAATAGGGACAAGGATTTCTATGAGAGAGGCATAATGGAATTACCTTCAAAATGGCAACAAGTTATCGAACAAAACGGTGCATATTTGACCTAAATCGGATCATTCTAATTATGCTAAATAAAGCCTTCAATTTCATGCAAAAGTAATGGATTTCTTTTTACTACACCTTATATAACTGGAATACTTGAGTTTATATATTATATCTACTATTTTATCATCAACCTATAAGAAATGAGATTCCTCATAAAGTAACTGCTAACTTTAAATGTTTTAATGCAAGAATAAGGCCATTAAGAGCCGATGTTGGATGTTCGTGCAAATAACTAACCGAAGCTTTGGTAGCCCAATAACAGTATTTTTTATAACTCAATAAGTATGAATTAATGTGCATGGAAAAGTATTAAAATAAAGAAGGTTTTAATAATTATAATAATCATAAAAATATTTTGGGATTCAAGGTCGGTTTATAAGTGAAAGATTGATTCATCACGTACGTTATCAAGATCGAAAAATTATCCGGCACATGCGTTTGACACTATAAACATTATTATCCTTCTCATCATACTTATTTGCACGAACACATCCAGTATCGGTTCTTAATGACCTTATTCCTGTATTAAAATTTTAGGTGTTAGCTATAGAACCTTAAAGATACATATTTATTTCGTTCAAATGTTGTTTTAGAAAACCTATAAAGATGACTTTTACAATGTATCTTTAACTTATAAAAGTATATAACTAATACCATGATGTAAACTTAATCTACGCCTACGTACATATAACTTAAGATGCAATGCAACTATAGCATTAACCCATGTCAAAAGTAATTTAAGTAAAGTAAAGTAAGTATATATGTATGCTTTTTACTCTTTTGTAAATATATAATACAAATACAAAAAATACATTTTGTCAGTATTTTAGAAGAAGAAGACAACACATAGTTAACTTAGAAAAGCCACCACAAGAAAATATTGAGAAGCAAATAACTGATGATGTAGAAGTCATAGATATGATAAAGAAAAAAAATGACGTTATGGTACCTGAAGTATATGATTTATTTGATTTT